AGAAAAAGAATCATAAGATCAAATAAGAAAGTATTGAGTTTTTATCTAATTTTTGTATTCTATTTATCAATAAAGTATTTTCTTTTCATCTGATTCTTTTGCTATGAATCTCTTGACTATGTCTGAGTAGATTCATTTGTTAGATTGGGGTTCAAATAGTTATGAGGGATTAGCCCCAAGTGGAGTGTTGAGTTGTTATATTCATTATCCAAATGAACCCTAATGCTTACTCTAGATTTGCTACTTAGAATTATGATTGTGGAGTGACTAATCTAATAGTCATCATCCTGAAATCATTTGGCTAAGCCCAAACTCTATTAGGCACGTGCGATAGGCGGTTTAATAGAAATTCTCGGGTGAACACAGTTTCAATTCGATCTGATGCTATATCGATCGATACTCCTATAGAGTCATCGATCGACGGCAACATATATCGATCGACACTGCGACAGCAACATCGATCGATACTGTCGGCAATCAGATCAATGGACGAGTATAATAGCGACAGCTATAGATTTGTCTAAGGACTGAAGTTCTCATATATTTGCAAGCAATTCGTTAAGACATCCATAGATTTATAATCTTGATTTTCTGAATAGTAACCTTGAATCTAACAATTTTCTTTCATTGTTTTAAACCCAAAACCTATTTTCCTTAGCAACTTACCATTGCTACCAACTTTTATTTATTGTTTTAAACCTTTTGCAACCTAGCTTAATCACTTAGGATTATATCTTTTGTGACACTAGTTCCTTGTGGATTCGATCCCTAAGTACTACGATTGAACCTCTTATTTGAGAGAGTAAATCACTCCTTAGGGTTAAACATTTGAGTGACATCATCTACGTCCGTCGCTGCGATAAATGCCAGCGACACGCCCACATAATCCACCAACCTACTGAGTTTCTCCAAACAACAACCGCACCCTATCCCTTCATGAGGTGGGCGATGGACATCATCGGGCCAATGCCGAGCTCACGACAATGACGTTTTGTCCTTGTCATGACCGATTACTTTACCAAGTGGGTTGAAGCCAAAGCTTTCATCCATGTCACCTACAACAAAGTACAGGGATTCGTATGGAAAAACATCATATGTCGCCATGGTCTCCCTTACGAGATCGTCACGGACAACGGATCGCAATTTATCTCCAATAAGTTCCGCGGCTTCTGTGATCGATAGAGAATCCGACTAAGTACCTCAACCCCGAGACACCCGCAGGGAAACGGCCAAGAGGAAGCAACAAACAAAACGATTCTCAACGGCATTAAAAAGCGCTTGAACCTTAAGAAAGGCTGTTGGGCCGACGAATTGGATGGTGTTCTTTGGTCGCATCGAACCACACCCCGGGGTGCGAACAAAGTCACACCTTTCTCCCTTTCCTATGAGGTCTAGGCAATGGCACCCGCGGAGGTCAACGTAACAAGCCTACGCCGAGCAAAGCTCTCGTAGAACGAGGAGATCAACGAGGAAATGATGCTTCACGCGTTGGATCAACTCGAAGAGCGCCGCGATCAGGCTTTGTTCAGAATCCAAAATTACCAGAATCAAATTCAAAGCTACTATAACAAGAAGGTCCACTCGAGACCACTGGAACTCGGCGACCTCATGCTGTGAAAGGTGTTTGAAAACACGAAGGAATGGGGAGCCGTGAAGTTAGGAGCCAACTGGGAAGTCCCTTACAAAATCACCAAAGTCATTAAACCAGGTGTGTATCGACTAGAGACATCGACAGGCGAGCCAGTACCGAGGTTCTGGAACTCTCTTAACCTGAAGTGTTATTACGCCTAAAAAAAAACACCTTCCTTATTCCAAAAAAAAACTATATATACAGTGAAACCTCTATAAATTAATATTGTTGGGACTACACCAAATTTTTTTTTTTTATTAATTTAGATATATATTAATTTATCAATATACTAATCGAACCAAAAACTCAATTTGAGACTATAAAATTATATTATTTTATAGAGATATTAAGTGTATATTAATTTATCGAGTATTAATTTATAGAGTATCTACTGTATATATATATATATATATATATATATATATATATATATATATATATACCGAGCAGATGCGCCTTCGGGCCACTTTTTCCAAAGGTAATGCACATCTTGCACCCAACCGAGTAAATGCGCCCCGGCCACTTTTACTCACCCGGACAAATGCGTGCCGACCACTTTTGTTCAGAAAAAAAGGGAACTACGAATGACTTGATCCTTTAACGAGTTACGTAGGCAGCCCTCCCAAGGGTCCAGTCATACCCCAACCAAATCCATATATTGAGCTTTCGCCAGACCGACGCGACGGCAGCTGCACACGCGTACCCACCAAAGGTCGCGGCGAAGCTTACTTGCCATCGGGACAAGCTCCGACTTTTACACATACGAACACTATAGAGGAGAACCGAACAAACTCACACTACATTCGATGTAATGAGCCTTCGGCAAGGAAAAGCCCTCCCTGATGTTATATTCCTTACCCATGCTTCCGAGCCTCCGTCAGACGGAGAGAGTGATTTCATCTTGCGAAACAGCGTAATGAACACTCGTCGACATGGGTTCCCCGAAGAGTTCTTCTTTTGTTTGCGCAAACAATTTCATTTTACACATTTAAGTTAACTAATGTGATGAATGTTAGTCAGCATAAGTGCTCGAGGAACTTTTCTTTGTTTACTTAGTAATAATTCCCTACGGTATTTTCGTCTGAAATATTCGACAGGTATCCCCCGGAAAATACTAAAGTGGAAAAACACAAACAAAAGAGGAGTAAAAGGAACATCCATACAACCAGGCGCCTGCGAAAGTCTTACAAGATCGAGTAGCAAAAGGGTCCTACAAAGCATTACATAAACAAGTGGGCAACGTTCCCAAGGTCAAGCCTCAACGTCAGTTTCCTCATCTTCGCGGTTGGTCTCATCCAAGTTCCTATCTGATGTCGGGATTTCCGAATTCTCTATCTCAAACACCAGAGCAGCCGTCCCCGAAGCGGTCGGGTCTTCGTTATCGGCAGCTTGTCCCTCCGGATCTTCTCCCCGCGTGACCGAATTCCCCTCCGTTAGATCAGCTCCCGGAGCTAGATTTGGCTATGGCGCGGCGTTCGTTCGCACAGCAGGATCTTGGCAAACGCTCTCCGATAGAGTGGAAGGAGTGTCCTGAGGGATACGAAATCCACGCACAACTGAGGAATCGATCAACCCAGAGTTAGATCCAAAAGGGTTGATCCCGGACAAGAAACGCTCATCCACGAACTGAGACGGAAGCACTACGGGGGACAAATCGATCAACCCAGAGTTAGATCCAAAAGGGTTGATCCCGGACAAGAAACGCTCATCCACGAACTGAGACAGAAGCACTACGGGGGACAAGGTCAGGTTGGATTCAGGCAGATCCCCCACCTCCAAGCTATCCATTTCTTCCTTATACTTCGAGGCTTTGGCGTCGAAGATCCTAATAATGTTGCTCGGGACGGGATGCCCTTTCCTGTTAATCATCTCAAAGACAATCCTTGACGCCGGAAGCTTGGCCGTATAGCTGACGCTTCTCTTGGTAAGCATGGCTTGTAATCTCGAGTATTCTCGAAGCAATGATGGCACTTCGAAACATACGCGGTCTGCACCCTAACCCTTTCCAAGGTGACTTCGTGAGCGCGGGAACGACGCAATCTCTTGATATCCTGATCTTTTTCCCGGATGCTCGCGGCTATCACGGCTTTCTCACGCTCCGAGTTCTCCAACGCTTTCCGAGTGGCCATTATCTCCTCGTCGAGGGCATCGGTCTTCTTTTTGTACTCGCGACTGCGAGCAACCGCTTTATCCCTCCCTTTTAAGATTTTCTTGCACTACAAGAAATATTAGTATTGGGAGGAGTGCACGGTAGCACGAATTCACAAACTGCTATTAAAAATGTCAAAATCGGATCACAACTTTATCGTAGCGTTGAAATCTCGCTAGAAAAGAATTTTATTAAGCGGGAACACAAAAAACTTTACTATAGCTAAAAATTTATATTAGAGGCAAAAAATACTTAGTGAAATTTGGTTTTGGCACCAAAATATTTAGTTTTGATAAAAAAAGAGAGAATTAGCCAAATACCCATAAAAGGGAGTGAAATTAGAGAATTGCCCATGAGTTGACATTAAAACAACTTTTCTTACAATTTGGTTGGTGTTGGACGAAAATGGCCTTCTGAAACCTATTGCCTAGATCTGACACTCTCTCTCCAACTATTCTTCCTCTCTTTCTTTAAATCACACATATTTTTCACACATTTCTTTTTCACATTCATTTCTTTCTTTTTACACTATTTTTTCTTGATTTTCTTTTAATCTACAATTTTATATGTAAACGATTTTTAAATTTACTCATTTTGATAGAAAAATGAAACTTCAACAATATTTATTTACTAACATATAATACCTAACGCATGTATTGACATCTACAAAATTTATTAACAACTAACATCTCTGTTAACACTTATAATACATGTCTTGTTAACGGCTAACACATCTGATAACATTTACAAAATTTGTTAACAGTTAATGCCTCTGTTAATACATCTGCTACATGTATTTGTTAACAGTTACCACATTTGTTGACATCCACATTATTTGTTAACGGCTAACATAAGTGTTAACATCTTTGGCGATTTAAAAAAAAACTTCAATGCTGATTTTTTCAGAATGTGGTGTAATTAAAATAATTTAGATTCATAAGAATAGTAGTAAAATAGTAATAAATTTTTTGTAACAATAAATTTTTACACAAGAAAATAAGATATTAACATGTTAAAAGAGTTTGAGAATGAAAAAAAAAGAGGAATCGAATGAAAGAGAAAGAGAGGTTGTGGGGAAAGTGACTGTCAAGAGAGAGATTGTGTCAGGAGAGAGAGTTACATGTATGTAAAAGGAAGGACAATATGGTCATAAAAAATGGATCAATCCCATCATGGGTAATCCCCTATCTCTTTATCCTCCAGCTTATTTCTCGACAAAAAAAAAAAAAAATCCTCCAGCTTATTTTTCTTCTGTTTTGATTTTATTTTCTTCTTATCATTCCAATCGAAGAAACAACATAGGAATTGGCCTTGTTAAAAATTGATCTCGGGAACCCTTATCTGTCAAGCCGCTGGATCTCGTTGTTGCAAACTTTTTTCTTCATGTATCCTCTTCGCTTCCGCCTCGAGTCTCAGGTTCACATGCTCTCCATCTCCTGGGGCAGTGGAAACAACCTATTCGTCACGGTGTTACGGAATCCAGAGCAAAGCGATGACGACAGAGAAGCTGGTTGTGAGGTTGTAACCTTGAGACTTAGCTGCGAGATAGGCAACGCACAGTGGCGAAGGATCGGTTATGGATCTATGTCTCTGTTTGCGCTTTTGCAGGGCAGGGGAAACTCAATTTCAAGTTTGTTTAAGATGGATATGAGTCCTTCTCGGTATCAGACTGAATGGTGAGTAAACTCGAGTTTTTATCACTGATTTGTCAATTGAAAGGTTTGTTCTTTATTACAGTGAATGTGTTGTGTCAGGTGGGAGGACGTAATGGAATACAGCAAGGAGATTACTCCTCTCCTTAGTAATTCAGTGTCTTCCCCTGCTCCTTTGATTGAAGACCCAATATTGGTCATAAAGTTGCCATCTTTTGATTCATGGCTAGCATAAAAGTTGCCATCTTTTGAAAAGTATTGTGATCTCTGATTTGCAGGTTACTTAAGTTTCTGAGAAAAGTACACAGACTTTGCGAACAGAAGCTACAACTCTCTTAGGCCTTCTTACTCTTTTGCAGGTTGGTTTTGAGTCAGTCTATTGTATTGTTGTTGTTTCCGAACTGTAAACTCCTTGATGGACTTTAGGGATATTATATTTTCTCATGATGTTACATTAGTTTTGCTTTGTGATGAACTTTAGTGTTGTATGATAGAGAGTTAACAAAAATAAGTTTTGATTGTGATAAGTACTTAACATGCGTTGCAGGATCTGGTAAAAAGGTTTCAGACACTCCCCTGACGAAGGCTGGTGTTCCAGATATTACCATAGTGGATCTCCATGTGAAGAAAAGCTTTTATTCTCTTTCCTTCACTCGTTTATTCATTGAAAGTAACACTTGAAATTAGTTTTTTTTTTACGATTTGGCAAAAGACTTATGATGTTAGTATAAGATTTGTATGATGTCAGTGTAAGACTTGGAAATATTCTATGTAAAATGAATGTTTTATGAATTTAATGCAATATCTATTTTAGTTATAAATCAATTTGCAATTTCTAACTTATATGCAATATATTTTTGGGTTTAGTTAGATTTAAAATTTAAGATTAAACTTTTACGAACAACATAAGTCTAAGATTTTATAGTTAGTGTTGCACTACAAGAAAACACGCCTTTAACGAGGAAGAATTACGAGGAATTTCCTTCCTCGTAATGGTACGACTACGTTACAAGTAGTTTACGACAAAATTAATATTCGTCGTAATGAACTAGTTACATTACAAGCAAATGTCTTCGTCGTAAACGACAAGTAAATTTACGACGAAGGTACTAGGCAAAGAAAGATTCGTTGTAAAGACGAAGTAAAGTTACAAGTACATTACGAGTAATATTTAACCGTTAAAAGTGAACAAAAACGTGTTCTTAAGTAACTACTTTCGTTGTAACATGGTTGTAAAGCATGTACAAATGCCTTGTAAAATCTTAGTAAAATGGTTCCATGTAAATTCGTTGTTAAATCTTTACCAACCACACACGAAAATTCTCTATATATATGTCATTGATATTCACTCCTAAGAACACCACAAACAAAAACAAAAAAAATCGTAGAAAGAAAAAAATTTCGTAGAAAAAAAATTGATAACTTATGTATCGATTTTTAAAGAAATTATAATGCGTGAACAGTCACCAGAACAGTTCTAATCAACTCCTGGTAACTTTTTTCGAGAAGTCGATAAATAGATACGAGAAGTTGATGAGAACTGTTCTGGTAACTGTCCACGCATTTTAGGTTTGTTTAAATAATGAAGAAAAAATTTTATCCAATTTTTTTTTAAATTTTCGTTGTAAATTCGTCGTAAATTTACAATGGCTTTACGACGAATACTGGTAGGTGAACACGAGTTTAATGTGTAACTTTTGTCGTTGTAAACATGTTGTAACCTATATGTTAGAGACATGTAATATCCATGTAAATATGTTCCTTGTAAATTCGTTGTAAATTTTCACCTACCAATTTTCGTGGGTTTGCTATATATATGAGCATTTCTCATTTCTCAATTCATACCACCACACAAAAAGAAATAAAAAAATGTCGGATGGAAGAAATATTTTCGAATTGTGGAGTTGGATGTATACGCATAAAGATTCTGACGGTAGAGTGACGAATGAATTTCTTAGCGGGCATGAGACGTTCATGAACCAGGCAGCATGTACACCGCTCACGCAGGAAAGTGGTAAGATGTTCTGTCCTTGTCAGAAATGCAAGAATTCAAAATTTGCTCGTACGGAAACTGTCTGGAAACATTTAGTACATAGAGGTTTTACACCACAGTATTACATTTGGTTTCAACATGGGGAGGGTTATGGAGGAAATGAAGCTAGTAGTAGTAATAGTAATTTTCGAAATGTCAGTAATAATCAGGGTGTTGAACAGATGGTAGATCATGATAGGGTTCACGATATGATTACTGATGCATTTTTAGAAACCACTACAACAATAGCAGATGAAACTGTTCATGTTGAAGAACCTAATTTGGATGCAAAAAGGTTTTATGAAATGCTAGATGCTGCAAATCAACCAATCTACACTGGTTGTAGAGAAGGTCACTCTAAACTGTCTCTAGCAGATAGGATGATGAATATTAAAACGGATCATAATTTACCTGAGAATTGCATGAATGCATGGGCGGAGTTGTTTAAAGAGTATTTGCCAGAAGACAACGTGTCAGCTGAATCTTATTACGAGATTCAGAAATTGGTTTATAGTCTTGGGTTGCCATCGGAGATGATAGATGTTTGCATCGACAACTGCATGATCTACTGGAGAGATGATGAGAAGCTAGAAGAGTNATCGGAGATGATAGATGTTTGCATCGACAACTGCATGATCTACTGGAGAGATGATGAGAAGCTAGAAGAGTGTCGATTCTGCAAGAAGCCACGATTCAAACCGCAAGGACGTGGAAGGAATAGGGTTCCGTACCAAAGAATGTGGTACTTACCAATCAAAGATAGGCTGAAAAGATTATATCAATCTGAGAGGACTGCAACAGCGATGAGGTGGCATGCTGAACATGTCCAGCGGGATGGCGAGATTGCTTATCCATCAGATGCAAGAGCTTGGAAACATTTTAACAACGTACATCCAGATTTCACAAGAAATATTAGAAATGTCTATCTTGGATTATGCACAGACGGATTTAGTCCATTTGGAATGTCTGGGAAACAATACTCTTTGTGGCCAGTCATTCTTACGCCGTACAACCTGCCTCCGGAGATGTGTATGGAACAAGAATTTCTATTCTTGACCATATTAATCCCTGGTCCGAAGCATCCAAAGCGGTCCCTAGATGTNAATACTCTTTGTGGCCAGTCATTCTTACGCCGTACAACCTGCCTCCGGAGATGTGTATGGAACAAGAATTTCTATTCTTGACCATATTAATCCCTGGTCCGAAGCATCCAAAGCGGTCCCTAGATGTTTTTCTTCAACCATTGATACAAGAGCTGAAGGACTTGTGGTCAGAAGGGGTCAGGACGTATGATTGTTCCTTAAAAAATAGTTTTACGTTGCGAGCAGTACTGCTTTGGACAATAAGTGATTTTCCTGCTTATGGTATGGTTTCTGGTTGGACTACACATGGAAGGTTATCTTGTCCACATTGTCTTGGATCAACAAATGCTTTTCAATTGAAGAATGGTAGGAAGAGTTGTTGGTTTGATTGTCATCGTAGATTTCTTCCCCTTACCCATCCCTACCGAAGAAATAAGACATTATTTAGGTACAAAAAAGTTGTGAGGGATAGTCCTCCTCCATATCTGACTGGAGAACAGATCCTAGCGCAAATTGATTACTACGGAGCTCAGGAAACTGTTCCCCGTGGAGGAAACTGGCATGTTCCTGGAAATATGCCTGATGGATATGGGGTCAGTCACAATTGGCATAAGAAGAGTATATTTTGGCAGCTGCCTTATT